TGTGAAGTTTGTAATTAATGATTACTCATGTATGTAAATGTTTTATATACGTAAGGCAAGATTAGTTCTTTTGGTGTCAGAATGAGGGAAGAAATGTTAAGTCAAAGTGACTTGGTACGTGGCATGGTTGTTGTTGCCAGACGGGCTGGTCTGAGTATGTCAGTAACTGCTGATCTCCTGGGATTTTTACGCTCAATCATCTCTAGGGTTTACAGAAATGGTCAGAAAAAGAGAAAATATCCAGTGAGCGGCAGTTCTGTTGACGCAAATACCTTGTTGATGCCAGAGGTCAGAGGAAAATGGCCAGACTGGTTTCAGCTGATAGAAAGGCAACAGTAACTCAAAAACCACTTGCTACAACCGGGGTATGCAGAAAAGCATCTCTGAACACACAATATGTCGAGGTAGATGAGCTACAGCAGCAGAAGACCACACCGGGTGCCACTCCTGTCAGCTAAAAACAGGAAACTGAGGCTTCAATCCACACAGGTTCACCAAAATTGGACAATAGAAGATTGGAAAAACGTTGCCTGGTCTGATGAGTCTTGATTTCTGCTGCGACATTCGGATGGTAGGCTCAGAATTTGGCATCATGAACATGAAAGCATGGATCCATCATGCCTTGTATCAATAATTCAGGCTGGTGTAATGGTGTGGGGGATATTTTCTTGGCACACTTTGGGTTTATTAGTAGCAATTGAGCATCGTGTCAACGCCACAGCCTACCTGAGTATTGTTGCTGACCATGTCCATCCCTTTATGACCACAGTGTGCCCATCTTCTGATAGCTACTTCCAGCAGGATAATGAGCCATGTCATAAAGCTTGAATCATCTCAGACTAGTTTCTTGAACATGACAGTGAGTTCACTGTACTCAAATGGCCTTAACAGTCACCAGCTCTCAATCCAATAGAGCACCTTTGGGATGTGATGGAACAGGAGACTCACATCATAGATGTGCAGCCAACAAATCTGCAGCAACTGCGCAATGCTATCATGTCAAAAAGGACCAAAATCTCTGAGGAATATTTCAGTTACCATCTTGAATCTATGCCACAAAGGATTAAGGCAGTTCTGAAGGCAAAAGGGGGTCCAACCCGATTCTAGTAAGGTGTACCTAATAAAGTGGCCGGCGAGTGTATATTTCAGCATGGTGGAGTATTTGTAGATGGTTTTGATCCAAAGCTAAATTGAAGTGAGATTGTTTATGCTTCCACCATAGTCAAGTTTCATTCTCATTTCCTCCAATGACTTGAAGTGATGTGGTTTAGGCCTCAGTGTAAATATTTAGATATCCTTGGCTTAGTTTGATATATTAGCATAGTAAGTGCTCCCTTTTGGGGAAAAGTTTTGGCAAGCACATTATCCCTGATGCCGAGAGCAGTGGAAAGTTTTAGGTGTCTGTCTGTCTATCCTGATGTGATTAATAGAACGGTTAATACACCACTCCTTCTTTCTGAGGTTGTGGTGAACCTCCAAATGTTCTCATTCCTCTTTCTTCCCCGCAAAAACGATGTGTTTGGCAGAACTGCACACACACACACAGCAGGTGGAGAAAGAGATATTTCTAGTAACCGATTGCTTAATGTCAATAAATCCTCTCCTGGTTTCTCTGTGCGCTCTTTCATGTCTGCAACCGCAGCCTCTACATGTGCGGAAACGTCTGCTGTTTGATTGAACAGTTTTACCCTCCTTCATTTCACAAGTTGTTTAGACTGCGCTTCCTGTTTGTGGCCAATGAAACTGGCTCATTTGAAAGGAAAATTTACAAAACATTCTGGGATTTCTGAAAGCTTCTGGTTAGGAAATGGGAGCTGTCAGCTGTTGATGGTTGTAGGTGTGCTGATTTATGCCTCGCTCTTATCTTTCATCGTAAAACTTGTGTTAACCATAATGAAAGAATAGGCGCTTCCCAGTTCAATGGATGGTAACCGTGTGGCTTGGCAATAGTACAGAAAGGCACCAATGGTATGTAAACAGGCAATAGAGGTTGTTAAATGTGCAGTGTTTAATAGAGGACCCTTTGTTAATGTGTATTTCAGCCTGATCTCACAAGGAAATGTAACTACAGTGCATCCGGAAAGTATTCATATAGCGCCTCACTTTTGCCACATTTTTCTATGTTACAGTTATATTCCAAAATGGATTAAATTCATCCATTTCCTCGAAACTCTGCACACAATACCCGATAATGACAATGTGAAAAAAGATTAATTATTAAAAATAAAAAACCTGAAAAATCACATGTACATCAGTATTCACAGCCTTTGTTGTGAAGCTCTAAATTGAACTCAGGTACATTCAGTTTCCACTGATCATTCTTCAGATGTTTCAGCAGCTTCATTGGAGTTCACCTGTGGTCAATTCAGTTGATTGGACATGATTGATGAGGAAACGTAGCCCCGCGAACGTTTCTGGAGACCGCGATTTACGTGGCCAGAGGTACGTAAAGGCCGCGTTTGGTTTTTTTCGAGCGAACGCCGCGGGGCGGTGTGGCGCCGCTCCGGCCCTCCTTTTCGCGCTCGCCGGCCGACGGCTCGCCTCCGAGTGGAGGGCTTTCCCGACGCAATCAGTTCGTCCGCCTAGCTCACAGCGTTGCGTCGGTGGAGCGGAGGCCCCGGAGGAGGAGGACGAGCCGGAGCCGGCCGCGGTGGACCGGGATCGAGTCCGGGGAACGGCGAGTTCCGGAAATCAGGTAAGACGAAAAACGGAATCCGGAAAATAAGGGCGAGAACGCGGCGGGATCCGAAAACGCGGTCGAAATCGAAGACGGGGGCTTTTGCTTTTTTTTTTTTCTGATCCGGCGGCTATTCGCGCGAGAACGGCTCGGGCGCGAACGGCACGCGGTCCCAAGAGGCGCCCGCCCCAGACGCGAAAAAGTGCGCACAGCGGCCTCTCGCGGATCTGTGAAAACAAAAAAAAACGCTCGAATACGTACCTCCCGGGACGTTTCCACAATGAGCCCGGGTTGCTATATAAGGTGCCAGGGTTGACAGTGCATGTCAAAGCACAAACCAAGCATGAAGACAAAGGAATTGTCTGTATACCTACGAGACAGGATTGTCTCAAGGCACAAGGCTGGGGAAGGTTACAGAATCATTTCTGCTGCTCTGAAAGTTCCAATGACCACAGTGGCCTCCATCATCCGTAAGTTGAAGATGTTTGAACATCCAGGACTCTTCCTAAAGCTGGCCGGCCATCTACACTGAAAAAAATTATTCAGAGATGACTCCTTTGATTTACTAATTTTTTTACGTTAAGGGCTGAATTTAAAAAAACAAATTAAATTAAATTTGTTTGTTTAAATTCAACACAACTAAATTGTTTGCAACAGTTTTGCAGACATCATTTTTTTCAGTGTAAGATGAGTGAGCAGGGGCCTTAGTCAGGAAGGTGATCAATAACCCGATGGTCACTCTGTCTGAGCTCCAGCGTTCTTCTGTGGAGAGAGGAGAACCTTACAGGAGGACAACCATCTGTACAGCAATCCATCAATCAGGCCTGTATGGTAGAGTGGCCAGACGGAAGCCACTCCTTGCCTGGAATTTGCCAAAAGACATCTGAAGGACTCTCAGAAAAAAAGAAACTATTCTCTGGTCTGATGAGACTCAAATTGAACTCTTTGAACTAAATGCCAGGCATTACGTTTGGAGAAAAAAAGGCACCGTTCATCACCAGGCTAATAGCATACCAACAGTGAAGCATGGTGGTGGCGGCATTATGTTGTGGGGATTTTTTTCACCAGCAGAAACTGGAAGACTAGTTAAGATAGAGGAAAAGATGAATGCAATGTACAGAGACATCCTGAATGAAAACCTGCTTCAGAGTGCTCTTGACCTCAGACTGGGTCGACGATTCATCCAGATGCAGTGTTTTGTATGTTTAGTCAGTTTAGTGGCTAATTCAATTAACGAGTTCAGTCTAATGAAAAAGTAAGCTTTTTTTAAGTAGGCATGGCACCAAACCCCACCCCTAAACCCAAACATCTGTCACGCTCACGAAAATAACAAAACAACTGAGATGAATCCAAGATGCAAGTGTGTTTATTGAGTGGCGGTTAAAAATGATAGAGCAATAGAGTCCAAAAACAGTGTAAACAAAAGATCACAAGACATGGCAAAACGTGAGCCATGAGGTCAGCCGATAACTAGTCAAACAGACCAGATATTCAGAGCAAGAACAAACAATAACAAACTGACAATGTAACAAAGGACTGGCGGTCAGATATGTCTGTGGTAATTAACCACAGCTGGGCGGCTAATCAGAACAGCTGATAAACCACGTAACCGCAATAATGCTGACACGCCACAACAACGCACGTGTAGAAGGCAAAACATAAGCGCGTGACAACAACACAGACAGCACAAGAAGTGCGCACACATGTACATCCGTGACACCGTCATTGAGGGATAAGCAAATCATACTAAAATGTACAAATGAGATCGTACACTGTAAAACCCAGCAGTCAACTTTATCAAATGAAATGAGGGTAGTTAACTCAGAATTGACTGAAAGTTAACTCTACTCATTTGAAAAGAGTTTTGAACTCAGTGTTAAAGGTAATGAGTTAATTAAATACCTCATTACTTCAACTTAAATGGAGTGAGTTCACTGTACTCATATAGATAAGGTTTTTTTTTTAACTCAAATGGTTTGTTGCAATCGGTTTCCTGAAACAGTTTGGTCCACTGGGTTTTACAGTACTCAGTTGGTTTGAGTTCTCTTCATTCATTGGATTTTACTGTACTCAACTTGTTTTTGCAAATGGGTAAGTTCACAGTACTCATTAGGATTAATTTTTGAACTTAAATGGTTTGAGTTACCTTAACTTTATGGGTTTTAAAGTGTACAAATTTTAACAAGTTTGCCACTAGATCAAAAAGTTAAAAACTGACAAGACATTGTTGATATTTGATGGTAATTTGACGTTTTATTTTGTGCAATCGGGAAAGTATTATGGGATTCAAAACTGTACTTAAAGTGTGTGTTTGTGGTTTTAGGGTATACGAGGGCTTCCTGGAGAGATGGGGCCTGCTGGAGCTCAAGTAAGAACCCAAAATATAACTGAAAATATTAAGTATACATACAATTGCTGTTAATATTGCTTAATAATTATGTACAGGATGTCTTTAATTGCAATACCATTAAAAAAACTAGCAGAAAATGATCAGTTTTCAACTTTCTACATGATAATATTTGTAATTGAATTTGGGATGAATTGCTCTTATACATTTAGAATGAAACAAACATTAGCATTTTACTCAAATCCATATCTAATAATCCAGGGGTGTCAAACTCTGGAGGGCCGCAGCTCTGCACAGTTTAGTTTCTGCCCTGCTTCAACACAATTATCTGTAGGCATCTGTTACAAAGCCCTGATGTTAGTCGAGGGTTGTGGGGTTTGACATTTATTTAATTAAAATATATTTATATAAACAGTGAATGAGTGGAAAGACAACCAACGTAATGCCAAAAAATGTGTGCTTTTATTTACAATCCCAAAGTGAACAACAACAACGAATTAATCAAAAATAAAGAAAAAGTAAGTAAGGCAAAAATATACTATTTATAATATGTACAACACTGAGACAAATAAAGACGGGAAAAACAAGAGAGCTGGCAGAAGGGACGCGGGCGGCGCTAAAGAAATGAAAAGAACAAAACCCAAACTAAATCTAACTCCCCAGAAGCATCTAGCTAACTAACTATGTGAAAACAAGTCTAAAGCATTCAATTGGTTTGATCAGGTTTGTTTAATCAGGGTCGGAACTAAACTGTGCAGAGTTATGGACTCCAGGAACTGAGTTTGACACATGTGTAATAAACTAAGTAAATCCTGATAAATTGAGAATTTTCAATTTGGAGTCTTTTATATAGTTAGTTCTTTTATATGCTATGTTATATACTCTAGTCAACATCTGAAGTGAATTAAAGCATTTAATCAAACCTTTCTAATACAAAAATGTGTTTTGAACAATATTTATTCTTTCCACTGTAAAAAATACAATACTAATTTATAGTAAAACGATGCAATACTACAGACAAGTACTTGAATTGATCTGTTGTACTGATTCTGTAGTATTTATGGTAACACAACTGTAGTAATATAAACAAATGACACACTACTTTAGTTTTCCAAAACTATAGTGCATATTATACTGCAATACACCACAGTTTACTGTGGTAAAAACTACTACCGTATTTTAGTTTGTCACTTCAGTATAGTTTATACTACAATTGCATTCAAAGAGTTGAAAATATGTATACTAAACAAATACATTTATAATATTATAAACTAATATAATATTATATAGTTTACTATAGTACAAAAGCCATTTACTAAAAATTACTATGGTAATTTTTTTTTAAACTAGGTTGTTTTAGGACAAATTTTTGGATTAATTTCAATTGCTGACTACTGTATGTATAACTTTTACTTTGACAGGGTGAGCGAGGCTTGTCTGGACCAGCAGGTTTTACTGGACCAATAGGACCACAGGTATCTCAAAAGTTAAACAGTTGTGTGCTTTTTAATGTGGTTTTGTGGCTCAGTGCTAAACTACAATGTTATAATCCATCACGGATTAGTTATCTTGTCATTTTGGGCAAGATGTCCATCATAATCATTTACAAACAAAATCATGTAGCTCTTACTCGGCTTAAGATTGTTCATTCATTCATCCATTTTCTTTTTTGACCTTTATTAATCAAGGGTCGCCACAGTGGAATGAACCGCCAACTTATCCAGCATATGTTTTAGGCAGCGGATGCCCTTCTAACCCTAACCCAACACTGGAAAACACCCATACACTCTTGCATTCACACACATAGGCTAAGGCCAATTTAGCTTATTCAATTCACCTATAGCGCATGTCTTTGAACTGTGGGGGAAACCAGAGCACACGGAGGAAACCCACGTGAACACGGGGAAACTCCACACAGAAATGCCAGCTGACCCAGCTGGGGCTTGAACCAACAATCTTCTTGCTGTGAGGCGATAATGCTATCCATTGCGCCACTGTGACGCCAGCCTCAGATTGTATTATAATAAAATTTAGACCTTATCTAAGAACCAGAGTATCATAGCAACTTGGTGGTGCTGTTTTATAGCCACCTTACAACCACCTTGAAGGTCCAAACAACATATAGAAACCTACACGTAATACTTTACCAACCGCAGAGCATAAACTTGTCAACCACCCAGAACACCTTTGGTCTGTGGTGGTGTGAAACGACGTTTCCAGCAACAGTTGTTCATGATTTATTTTTTAAAGGTAAAATGTGACCCAAACACACGTCATTGGTTAATGTTACCAGACTCCAGAGTAGTTTGGTTTGTACCACATTGTTTAAACTTTCTGAATAACGTACCTATGAATGTCTTGGGTATGTAGGCACAGGTGTAGGTACTGGCATAGGTAGATAAATGTTAAAATATTCATATATAAAGTTGTTGATGGAAGGGATTTGGCAAATTAAATGATTTAGCACAGAATTTGTTTATATTTTATATTTTCGGTACACGTTAGTTCAAGTCTATCAATTCACACCATTTTACCAGCCTATTATTAAGATATTAACTGTTTATTAGCACTTATTTTAGATTAGATTAGATTAGATTCTACTTTATTGTCATTACACATGTACAAGTACAATGCAACGAAATGCAGTTTAAGTCTAACCAGCAGTGCAATAGCAGCAAGTGCAGGATACAGGAATAAGTTATAAAGTGCAGTTATAGAAAACTATGGTGATATTTACAGATGGATGTACTATGAACATTATATACAGGTTGGATGAGCTATGAACAGATTTACAATATATGAATATATGTGCAGGTTGCTATTAATAATTAGTAGTGTGCAGATAGATAAACATGATTACAAGTGTATATGTTACAATATCTGAATATATGTACAGTGATAGATAAACATGATTACAAGTGTATATGTTACAATATATGAATATATGTACAGGTTGCTATTAATAATCAGTAGTATGCAGATAAATAAGCATGATTACAAGTGTATATGTATAGTGGGTGTGTACATAATTACAAATGCACATATGCAGTGGGTATGCACAGTTCAATAAGTAAACAGTTCAATGTGGTGCAGTGAATGTGCAAATTTTAAACGTGCAAATGTTAAACAGTGCAGTTATTGCGAGGAGTTTAAGTTAGAGGAGAGTGGGGGGTGTATTGGGGGGGCAAAAGTGTCAGTGGGGGGCAGAGTTCAGGAGGGAGACAGCTCTGGGGGAAAAGCTGTTCCTCAGTCTGCTGGTTTTTGTCCGGGGGAGCCTGAAGCGCCTGTCGGAGGGCAGAAGAGGAAACTGTCTGTGAGCGGGGTGAAAGGTGTCCTTCAGAATACTGCGTGCTCGGCGCAAACAGTGTTTCTTCTGGATGTCCTCTATGGCTGGCAGTGTGGTCCCTGTGATGCGTTGGGCAGTTTTCACCACCCGCTGCAGTTCCTTACGCTCAGCAATAGAGCAGCTTCCATACCAGACTGTGACACAGTTTGTCAGGATGCTCTCTATTGTGCAGCGGTAGAAGTTCTCCAAGACGGCTGATGAAAGCTGGTTCTTCTTCAGTTGCCTTAAGAAGAATAGGTGCTGGTGAGCCTTCTTGATCAGGCTGGAGGTGTTGGTGGACCAGGAAAGGTCCTTTGAGATGTGGGTCCCCAGGAACTTAAAGGATGAGACAGGCTCAACGGCCATCCCATTGATGTGGACGGGATCATGTGAGCCTGTTCGTCCCTTTCTGAAGTCCACAATGAGCTCCTTGGTCTTGTTGGTGTTAAGGAGCAGATTATTGTCAGTGCACCAAGTGTCCAGATGCTGTATCTCCTCCCTGTAGGCCGTCTCATCATTGTTGCTGATTAGACCAATCACTGTGGTGTCATCTGCAAATTTGATGATGGTGTTGGATAAAGTATGATCTTATTCTACATCACTAACCCTACCCAATACTGTACAAAAACACAACTACTACCTTACTAATTATTAATAAGCTGTTAATTAGTAGTTTATTGAGCTAACCTCTTAGGTAATAGTTTATTAATAGGGAGAATTGTATTTTAAAATAAAACCAATATTTGTGTTATTGGTAGAATTGTTTATAAAAATGTCTTAAAAAAACATAGATTTTTACTATTTTTGGATATATTCAGGCAATAAAAGGGTCTAACGGGAGCAATTTGCTAACGGTCTAATCTGATTCAATGATGTATGCCAAGCTAAGCTAAAATTGCTCCTGCCAAGCAAAAATTTTGATTTAATTGATTTTAAAAATGGTACAATTCAACAGTTTAACTCTAGACGAGTTGTAAAATGAGCTTATTTTCAACAAAAAAAGTGTAGTGCTCTATCATTTTTGAGAAGTGGTGCATATTGTGCAAGTCTACATTACTGATTATTAATAAGCTGCTAATTAGTCATATATTGAGCTGAAAGTCCTAGTCAATGGTTTGTTTATAGCATGAATTGTACATTTAAATAAATTGTGATTATTTTTTGAGTGGGTTTTAATATGCTTAACTAAACACTTTAGTTTAAGTACCAGCTGCCGCTATTAACAACTGGCTAATTACCCACTTATTATTAAGATATTTGCTGTTTATTAGTGTTATGACTTTAAAGTTTATCTTTAGGGGTTAAAGAGGAAAATTTGAAGTGAAGTAAAGGAATTTATTTTCAAAAGTGAAAAGTCAAACAGCTAAATATTATCTACAAGTTGGAATCTCACAAAAGAAAATAGATCAGTTACTGTATAACAATAGAACAAAAACCCCAAAGCTAGCTGAAATTTACCCTCTAAACTATCTAATAGAAAATAAACATCTTCAGCGTTTGCACCAGTGGTGTAGTCCTAAAAAAAAGTGGTGTACTATAACACCCGACCCATTTTTCATTTAAATTTTAAATGAAAGTAGGCAAAGAAACGACGAAAGTCAATGTTTATTTGATACATTAGCTATATATATATATTGAGTCTGAGGTGTCCAAACTTGTGCTATCTAGCCATGCAACCACCTGTCCACTCGATCCC